TACCTCAACTGCACTATTTGAAAAAATACATACATAGCATACATTGCTTTTCACATACATTGCTTTTCAGGTGTCTACAAAATAATCATCACAGTATTGAGTATTTTATCAGTAGAAGTAATATTCAGTGTTCCTATTTTTGTTACTATTATATGTGGAGGGGAAATGCAATATCACTCCATTTTCTGCACTTCAGAGTCACATGATTGGTTTCACTACTGACATAACCAAAGCCCAAGCCCCAAACGTTGATATCAACCTCCCTGCAGAAGTCCAGGAATTACCACATTTTTCCACATCTCTTCTGTTCCCATGAATCATCCTCTTTTTTCTTCTCAGTTCTGCAACTGTTGTTTACCACCAGAAATGAAACACACCCATTCATCTTTTAGATTAAAGCTGTTATTCTGTTCCTTCCAAGAAGCGGAAAACAATCTTTTATGATATTACCTGTTGCAGAACTAGAACTCTACAATTTCAAAAGACAGTGTTAGTTAAAGTGATAACAGCTTTGAAAGTATGGGACAATCGATTGGATGTGCTGCCTCTCAAAATGTGTGATTACAGAACTTCCTGCTTGAACTTGAAGGCTGCTGTTATTCCTAAGTCAGGAAAAATGATAGTTTTCAACCATCCCATGCAGCTTATAATGGCTAACAGGCAAACTTTCAAGTTTAATAAAATATGTAGATGTATTTCTTCCCAGAGGAAAAAACGGCATACACAATTGCATATAGCAGTCATGCTCAGGCCCATAGTAAGATTTTTAACAAGTTTACAAAGATTATTTATGCTTTTAAATCACACTTTGCAACTGTTAATTATTGCTACACAAATAAAAGCTTTGAGGGTAATGGATAATCTTTCATTAAAACAAGTGACCAAATAAGTCCTTTGGAAGAGCTAGTATCTATCCTGATGTAAGTGGAAAGAACTGAAGCTTTCTGCTGAGTACTTGTTAACCTACTTGAAAGTTCAAAATGCCTCCTGTACTGTAAAGTTTATACTCAACATCCCCCTTTTCTGGTCCAATTCTGTCACTTATGTCATTTGTTAATCTTGTCTGGTACAGTAGTGATTAAACATAAAATACCATTTTCAGGATTGTCACTAACATGCTGGGGAAAAAAAAAACTTACATATGCTAATCAAACAAGGTCCTGCAAAAGGCAGTGAGACAATTCATCAAGCTTGTGTGTTTGTTCCCCCAGAGTCCCATGGTTTAGAGTCACAGGGACAATTTGAGCAAGAGTTAGCAAGGGTGCTTTCTTTCCACCATTCCCATAAGCATATTGCAAGGCAGGGAGAGATGTGCCAAATATTACTGAATTATAAGAGCAGGCAATTTGAAGTGCTCATGATGTGTCAGCCCCATGTTAGTGTGCTGACTTACCTCTCTCCCTCTCCAAGCCTGTGTTGGGATGGCTGCAATCGGAATGCTCTTTTGTCTCATCTACCTTTTGTCAGGTGACTGTCACTTGATCTTGGGCAAGGTGTTTGCTAATCTCCTCTGCCCCATTTTCCTCATGATATTGTTACGCATGTGAAGGAAATTAATATGAGGATCCTTTACAGAGTTTGTTGGAAAATAGAATTGGAAGATGAGGGGTTTTTTGTGCAAAAATATTTTGAAATCCATCATATAGATCTTCAAAAAATTCTTGAGAAATTACTACTATGAAAAAACAAGACATGGATTTAAACTTTTCCCACCAAAAATAAGCTCATTTTCATCCCATTTTCCCAAGAACTTTTGAAGTAGCCTCATGTATAACATTATACAATATTGATGCGAACTATTCTAATTATTAAAAGTTAGCTTGACATCCTGAAGCTACAAATACTCTAATAGGTACCTTTATTACCTGAAAATTCTTCCAGAAAAACTGTACATTAGATGGTAGTATTAAACCACAAAGTAATATGACCCCCAGGTACTGTAAGCACCCCTAACAAAAACATTGATTTTTGTATACTGCAGTGAGCTCCGAATAGGTACATCTTGTCTCTAAACACCAAGTGCCAAGTACATCGGGAAGACAGTCTTTCTCCAACGGAAACAATTTGTAGTCTATTGAAATTGGAACACTTTAGCAGTGTTTCTCTGTACCCACTTAAATCATAAGAACTCCTTTTCCTTTTAAGTTCGTTGGTACTCCATGTAATGCTTGTAAGATTTGGTTCATAGCAACTTTGGTATTTGCCATGAGACAGGCTTGAAAAATCAGTCCAATAAACTGAGTACATCCACATACTGCAAAAGAGGCAACATTTAGTTGCCTAAGGCCTGTAACTAACAAAATCTCTCCTTTACACACCTCCTGAAGACACTTTGGATTTATTAACTGATCTCAGAGAGGAGAGAGGGTAAAATTCAAGACTTTTAAGCAGAGTGGCGAAGTTCAGTCCTTTCAACCGCCTCGTTTCCACATGTGTCCAAAGGAAAAAGTAGCCTTCTCTGCCTGTGTAGATCACATCGGGGTTAGCTCCAAGGCTTTTGAAGCTGAGATTTCTAGGAAGATAAGCAGAGGAAGGATATTCCAGGCAAAGGAGAAGTGAAATGTACAGACGTGGAGATATTGAAGCTACAGACCATTGGGAAATACCAGACTACCTGGAACAAGGGACAGAAAGCAAGGCACAAAGAGCCTTGAATGGCTTGCAAAGCTAAGATAGGAGAGGATTTCCTAAAGCTGTAAGAGCCACCTGGCTTGGAGGCTGGAGTGAGGGTGTAGAGAACCTGCCTGAAGAGCAGCAGGTGCTGTCAGGCGCTCTACAAAATCCTCAGAATCCAGTGACAAGACTCGGGCATTGGAATTGTTTGCTAAAAAGGTTAACTAGAAAGTTCTATGGATTTTTCCAAGTTTAGTGGCCCTGAGATAATTAATAACATCTGATACTCCATATTTTCAGAAAAATACTTTGATCTGAAAATTGCTTAGTTTGACATTTAGCTAAATCAAGAAATACAGAAATGTTTCTTAGAAAAGGGGCGATACAGAAGGATGATTTTTATCTATAGAAATAGCTCATCGGGTGGCCAAACCTCAGGATAATAGGGAAGAGGCTAGTGGCTGGCAGGTGTCCTGTGGCTCCCTCACTGGGTGAGCTCCTGCTAGCTCAGATTCAGATGGCAGAAATGTAGTCATGAATTCAGAATTCTTTGAACCTGTTAAAAAAAACTGACCGTAGATGTAAAAGAAGAAATGGATTCTAGCGTGAAGACTGTATCACCTTTTATCCACATAACAATCATAATAGTCAAATGCATACACATGGGGACTGTGGATCCAATCTGTCTGCAAGTGACTCCCAGCTCCACCACTTATAAGGCAGTAAAAATTAATCAGCACTGGAAGAACTCATTAAAATTTATAGAGTGCCAGTGACTGTTGTCACAATAAAACAGAGGAGTAAAGCCATGAGGACTAAATGATTTGAGCCAGTTAAGGAACTTACAAGAACAGATAAGGAATTAGCATGTAATAATGTGATTTTCCAGAAATAGTTAGCAAATGTGGGGGGCCAGGAGTTGGGAACAACTGAGGGTATGTTTTGTGATTACTTAAAATGACCACATGCAGTTATTTTAAAGGCAAGGATCCTCCAGATGTTGTGAGTCAAGTCACCGAAAAGCAGAAAAAGCCACAGAAGATTAACCTCTACTTCCCCATAAGATGCAATCAATTTTTGAAAATTTGGTTAAAAAAATACCCTTGGCTTGTCTACGACGAGCTGTTAAATCTTATGTTCTGTGCCCTGTGTCGTAAGCATGGAGTGAAGTCAGGAGGAAGTCAGATGAGCTTTTTTTATGGCACAGACAACTTTAGGACCGAACTTCTCAATGCGCATCATCTCAGTGAGGCCCATGCCAAGGCTTTATTGATGGAAGCAGCCAGTGGTTCTCCAGTGAACAGAGCCACCACAGAACTAATGGTGAGAACCATGAGCAAAGTAACTCTTGGGAGAGTAGAGAACTTATTCAGATCCTGTCATGCCATTGCCAAGACCGGACGTCCCCTCAAGGATTTCATCTGGATGTGCAAGTTGGATGATATGAAGGGTATCGATATCGGGCCGGTGTTCAGAACTAACAAATCAGCAAGAATGTTTACATATTTTATTGCTGAAGTAGAACGGAAAAACCTAAGAGAGAAGCTGGAGAAAAGTTCGTTTTTCTCCGTCATCAGCGATGGAGTCACAGAGAGTTTCATAAAAGAAGTCAAACTCGTCTACGTACAGTTTGCCCATGCAGGCAAAGTGCACTGCCAACTTGTTGGCGCACAGACAGTAGAAAGGAAGGATCCCCTGGCCATTAAAACTGCCATTGAGAAAACTCTAGATGTAAATCTTCAGCTTAGGCTATCAAGCCACGACTGGGCAAAGAAACTGGTTGGTTTTGGAAGTGGTGGTACTGCTGGCATAGAAGGAGAGAACAAGGGGGTGACCTTGCTTTTAAGAGAAATTCAGCCATGTGTGCAGACTGTTTATTGCTTTGCACATCACCTTGAACTGTCTTACAAGGCAGTGTTCCAGAACATTCCCCTGTACAACGACGTCACAGAGCTGCTTTGCAGTATTTATCACTTCTATCACACTTCTCCTCTCCGTAAGCGGTCTCTAGAAGCAGCCTTCAGAGAACTTCACCTTCGGCCCGTAATGCCTTCTCACATAGGGGGTAGGAGGTGGCTTCATGGATTGCAGACAGCCCTCCACAACTTTCTCAGGGGATATCCTGCAATTATCCAGCAGTTGCATGCAGTAAGTAATTTTGAAATTCCACATTATTTTTCTTTTTCAGAATAATAGAAAATACCTTGAGCTATTTTCTTGCTCCTATGTTACAGGAAAGTGAAGAAGGAAGTGAAACTAGTCAAAATAAAGCCAAAGATCTGCTAGAACTCCTTCTCCAAGCCGACATTATTAAGTTTGCCCATTTCCTAGTGGATGTCATAAATGTCCTTAGCATTCTCTCCCGTGTCAACCAGAACAGAAATTCCTCAATTGCTGACATATTTGCCACCTTAGAGTCCACACTGGAAATGCTCCAAATGTATCAAAAAAGGTGAGGGGGCTGGGATGATAGAAGAGCCTGTCAAAGCAAACAGTTTGACTTGGGAAAGCATTTGCTAGGCGCTTTCTCAGTTTCTTCCTTAGGCCAGGTTTATCTCATTTTCTCCCTAGACCAGGCCCCAAAGAGCACAGGATGGATTCAGTCACACACTTTCACACCGACTGCCTCAGAGGAGCAGAAAACATCTCAGCTGTGAGAAACGTAGTTTTGACACATCTTATCAAGAGGCTGCAGAGCTGCTTCATAGATGCTAGCCAAGATGTGGTGAAGGCAACGGTGATCGTAAGCTTTAAATTGTGGCCCACAAAGCTACATCAAGGTAAACTCTACGTTGCTAACTCGGAACCAGTGATTCTTCGATCGCCTGAGCATCTTTCACATATGTGATTCTGTTTCTGGTATCTCAATGGCAGAATTCGGGGAGAAAGAGGTATCCATCCTGACTTCACACTATGAGCCAGTGTTAGAAGCTGCCAGTGTGAAAACAGATGAAGTAGATACGGAATGGAGCATGCTGAAATTAGAGATTTATGCCAGGTAAGGAAGAAAGCAAGCCAAGTCGACAAGTTGTATTTACAAATATTTGGCTAAAACTTGGGCCTCTCAAACCTTTAGATTTTTTTTTTTTTCTGTCCTTTCACGTAGATTTCAGAACATTCAAAAGCTGACCTGGGATTTTGTGAATTCCATTTACGCACACAAGTATCCAAACATCCTGAAGCTCGTCGACCTGGTGCTGACCCTCCCTGCAAGTTCAGCTGAAGCGGAACGTGGCTTTAGTCAGATGAGACATTTCACATCCCACACGTGGGCCAACATCAAGGCTGAGAGCCTGACCGATATCCTCATCATTCAGCTGAATTCTCCAGACATCAATCATTTCGACCCCAGGAAAGCTATCCGTTTGTGGAATACAAGAACACCATCTTCAGCCGGTCACACGTCAGATTCCTCATCCGACTCAGAAAGCCATTATGGAAGTGATTAGCACCATTACAGACATTGGCTTCCTTACTGATCACAGCAAAAAGACGGATGAGTTCCAAAACCCTGAAAATGAACTGTAAAGAAGTCACCAGTCTTCGCATCAGACTCATAAAGGCATTTGACATCTGCCAAACATACAAAGCAAAAATATGCGGATGGGTTTTCTTGTGACTTTGTTGTGCCACTTTAGTACCCACACATTCTTTGGTGTTCTTTGAATGGAAATGTATGTTGATAAACAAAACGTGATTGTGATGTCATCTTTCTGATAGTTCTTACTAAGCAGAACCATATTGTCTAGCATACCATTAACTATTTCTTCTATATAATTCCAAATGACAGTCGCACCGGATAAATCAGTATCAGGGCCAAACTGAGAGCATTTTAAATTCATGAACAAAATATTTAAGTGCATCTATTTATGTTAGTGTATTAGCAGTGAATATATCACCCCATGCTTAAGAAACATAAACTAAACAATGAAACATTAAAATGGCCTTCACACCTCACATTAAAATCCCCAAGTTAACAACCAATAGAAACTTAAACTATCATCTTACAATTTTTTTGTATGTAGAGATTAGAACACTGAACATATATTGTACATATCTCAGAATTTTTAAATATTTTAAGTATCTTCATGGTTTCCACAGATTTTATTTGTAGTTTCATCTTGAGGAAAAATGACTGATCTGTCTTTTAACTTATCTAAAAATCAATATTGAATCACATGAAGTTCAGTTATCCAAAAATTCTGTTACCTAAGAAAAAGGTTCTTTTCGCTGTAAACTTGACTACTTGAGTTTAATCAAGAGGTATGCCAATGCATTTGTGAACGACCTGATGGATGGCCAATTACATAACAGAAAGGAAGCTTCTGCTCTTTTTCCCGGGAAATTGCCTTCCCAACGGTCAAAACTGTATATTTGACTTGAACCAGTGACATTTTAAGAGGATTATTACATTTCCCTGGAATACGGAGGGAATGTTAAGGATGTTTCAGAAATATTAAAATCTTGACTATAGAAAGAAAAACTTTGGCCCACTTCCTCTGTGTTTCGCTCTTTTTCTCCTAAACAAAGAAGAGTAGCTCTGTAATCTGGACCTGAAAAATAAATGGGGACCCACTAGGAGATTCTCTGGACTTGGAAGGTACTGCTGCTGTGTGGGTTGCTAGATTTGTATTTTTTAAACTCCTCTCATCTATTTCTGTTTCCTTACTTCTTTTTTTTTTTTTAATGCATGTGTGTGCAATTAGAAATAACAAGGTAGACATCTCCTTTATTAGTCTGTAAGAGCAACACTTTTTTTATTATTTTTTTATTTTGACAATCTTTACATAGTTAATTTGGGTAAAAAGGTTCAAGGGCTACAGGAAAGTGGGTAAGATTATTGTTTCCATATTGTTTCCTTCATGTATCTGAGGTAAAGGGGGATATTGAGGGAGAAGCCCCACCCAGTTTCCCACCCTCCCCAAGTTCCGCATGTGGGGCATGCTCTGAGATACTTGCTCAAGTGGTTTCGATAGTTCACCAGTTATGAATCGCTGCCAATCTCGCCACTCCAAGCATGATGAGGTCATTGAAAAAACCATTCATTGACATTGTCCATCATAGCGTCTCTGGTATTTTTGTTGCCAACCTATAGCTGAGGTGGTTGATTAACTTGTTCCATCTCTCTTCTATGAAATACGTGGAAATCTGGGCCCATTGAGATTATTAAATTAAAACTTTGAGCCTACAGTGTAACAATTCAAGCAGCACTGCATTTTTAAAAGCAAATAGATTCTGTTCTAAAGGGCAAACAATGGTAAATGTGTTACTTTGATCACAGTGCTGGGCTACATAGATTTGAAGCATCCTTCATCTCACATACATGCTTCTAAAATAGTTTGGTCTTGTGCCCTACTGAATAAAGGAAACCTTAGAGTAATATCTTAAAATAAATGTATTCATAGTAAAAGATTTAAAAATTTTTCAAATTAAAAATTGGCCTCAGGAATTTTCCGAATGTGGAATGAATTTTTACTCAGCAATTAAAGACACGTTGGTTCTCGATTGGGAAATAATAATAGAACATAACAAAACTGAAGGTCATTCTCCTATTTTCAATATTCCTTCTATTTCATTAAATGCTATTACTTTAAATAATATGAAAAAGTGCCTGTCATTTCTTCCATTTTAGCCAAAGAGGAAAAAGTAGTCACATTAGATAATTAATAGTGTATTTTTTATTACGTTGCAGGGATTATAGGAAGTAAAGCATTTACTGACATTCTGCTTGATTTGATGACCTTTAACCTTGGAACAAACAACTTCCCTAGCAGCTGGATGAACCTCACCCAGCCTGAAGTAAGCTTCCATCTTGTTTGATATTCAAAGATTTGCACATTCTTCTTAATTCGTTATGTGTACAAAGTCTGAGTTATGAAACAGTCACTGAAATCTTAATTAATGCATATATGAATGAATATAGAATTAAGACATAGGAAGTCCACAGTCCATATTTGGAGAATAAGTAGTAATCTTATAGTCAAGAAACATTCTGGAAACTGTGAGGCTTACTACATGAGTTTTATTAACAAATAAAATGATTCTGACAAGCAATAGTACCTGATTCTAGTCATCTATTTTAAGATTTATTTATTTTTATTGAAAAGGCAGATTTACAGAGAGGAGAGACAGACAGCTCTCCCATCTGCTGGTTCACTCCTCACATGGCTGCAACAGCCAAAGTAAATTGAGCTGAAGCCAGGAGCCAGGAACTTCTTCCAGGTCTTTCATGTGGGTGCAGGAATTAAAAGCCGTAGGCCATCCTCCACTGCTTTCCCAGGCCAGAAGCAGGGAGCTGAATCAGATATGGAAAAGGCTGGACTCAGACTGATGCCATATGGAATCCCAGAGCTTGCAAAGGATGGGTTAGCCAACTGAGCCTTCACACCAGGCCTTATTATAGTAGTGTTTGTGTTTTATCATAATCTTTTTTTTTTAAGTAATGTATCAGGAAACTAAATAGGCAAAAAGCATTTCCCTTATGGGCCATAGAGTCCTTGAACAGGTATAATTATAATCTTTTTTAAAGTATTTTATATTGCAGCTGGCTTTGTGGCTTAGCCACTAAAACTACCATATGTGATGCTGTCATCCAGTATGGGCACCTGGTTCCTTCCCTGGCTATTTCAATTCCTATCCTGCCTCCTGATAACAACCTGGGAAAACGGCATAAGATGACATAAGTGGTTGTGCACCTGACATCCAAGTGGGCAAAGCTCATGGAGTTCCTGGTTTTGTCCTGGCTTAGCTGTGGAGTTTATGAACATTTGAGGGAGTGAACTAGTAGTTAGATCAATTTTTCTCCGTGTCCCTCCTCTCTCTCTCTCTCTCTCTCTCTCTTTCTGTCACTCTGCCCAATAAATAAAACATGAATCTTTAGGCTACCAAATCACGTGTATGAGTTGGTTATGTTACAGCAAGCAAAACACAGGTGACAAGAAGGAAAACAATGAAACACTTTGTGAAACTCTCCTGTATGGATTCGTTAGCAACAGAATAAAAGGACAAATTTCAGAACAGGCTGTACTTTCCTTTGTAGAATCATGGAAGCCTGAGCAGGTTCAGTTTCAAGATAGAACTTTGCAACTATTCCAGTGATACTTCCTGTTTTCTTCCAGTTGCAGGAGTTAACATATTTATTAATAGTAAACTCAGAGTTTGTGGACTGGCGGAAATTCCTGTTAGTAACTGCATTGCCTTGGCCCATCCCTCTGGAAGAAGAACTCCTGGAGACCCTGCACAGATTCAAGGCTATGGATGAGAAGCAGACGGGCACCGTCACTTTTGAGCAGTACCTGCAGGTGAATACCCGGCACCTAGCGGCACTAGTAATGCTAGAATTCTCTTTACCTAATAGGTGTTGCTAGTGTCTTTTTTCCAGACCTCAGGCCAGCGTGTGGATCCTCACCTTGTCTAGGCAACCAGAGGCAGCACATACAGTACCAAAGCCTCGGGCAGAATTCTGGCCTCTATCCACAGCAAGAGGCTCCGAAAAAGGTTAAAACTTGCTGGAGCACTAGAAGTTCAGAGAGAAGTCACATGAGCTTTGTTGTCCTCCTCCTGAGTTCCTAACCAATGGTTCTTGCCCTTAGCTGTGCATCTGAATCTCCCACAGCACTTTTAATAAATCTATTGCACAACTATACCCAAATACTCCAGGCATGGCAAGAACAGAATTTTTGCTATTGAAAGGGTGATGAATAATGAGATTGTTTTTCACAAGTTAACTTTCAAATGTCCATGGGGAATGCAGACAGAAATGTCCCATCTCTTATGGAGCTACAGAAGGAATGGCAAGCCACTGTCATGTAGGCAAGTGTTGAATTTGTGAATGGGCGAGGTCACACAAGGAAATTATCCAGTAGTATAATACATGATGATTGAACTTGACAGGTAGGACATAGCTGATGACCTCTGACAGTGCAATTTTCACAGAATAGCAAGTACAAAATCTAGTCTGCGGTGTATGGAAAATAGTGAATAGCTCTTCAGGAACTAAAGACCAATCAGCTCATTTTTGAGAAGTTCGAGTAAGAAGAAAGTTAGAATGAGATTCTACAACTGAGAGAATCCTGAATCATTTGTTTTTTTCTATAGTAACTGAATTCATTATTTCTGCCAACATTTCACATTACTAGTGGACATGAAAGAGGGAAATATTCCCCAGAGGCTACCTTTGAAACAGGTTGATACTGTCCAAGTGTCTGCACCTCACCTTGATTTCATCACAGAACAGTCATGGTCCTTCCAAGTTTTCTTTCCTTGGCTCATTAGTGGATGGCATAGATTTTTATGTGGTCCCAAAGGTCCCGTGCTTGGGTGAATGAAACAGAGGACAAGGCCCCTGAATGCTGGAGAGAGTGAGAGTGCCTGCCAGGCTGATCAGGGTAGGTGGCTGGCTGAATGGGATCTGATATTGGTATCTTCCAATTAGATTATCAATACTGGAATTGTTCTTGACTAATCATTTTTTAAGATGATTTTGAAGAGTCAACAGTAAAACAAACAATACATTCACATAAATGGCTTAAACTCTTTATAAAAGTATGGAACACTCAAGTGAACTTTCATTATTTACTATGCTTTAATTAACACAGGATATCAATTTGAACATAGCTTTGTACAAACACAAAAAGAACGAAGGGTGATGGCAGTTGTTACTGAAGTGCTGAGGCAAAACTAGAAACTCCTTTAGCCAAGGTGCGACTTTCTTAGAGAAAGTTGCCTGCTGCATTTAATGGAAACCCAGAAATACTGAGTTGAACACTGCCTGTGTTTTGAGGCTGCTTGATTTGCAAGCTCTCCACTCTCTCTCGCACTCAGTTCCCATTTCCTGAAAACTTAAGACAGGGATACTATTGGAGGCCCTTTACAGATACCCAACACTTACACACCCACCCACATACACACACACACACACACACACACACACCATAAATGTTTCAAATGGCAAACAGCTGTTACGACAAAATCTTTATACTATTTATTGGATATGTCTCAATAAACACGTGAAATAGTAGGTTGGTATTGCTGAAATGAAGTTCTGTGGAAGAGAACTGCCTACCATGCTTTTTGTTCTGTCATTCTTTGTCTTTCTTTTGACTAAGTACAAGTTCACCCTCAGAGCCCCTTAGGAGTGCACTGATTTCTCCGCTTCTATGATGGAATGATATTAAGTGTTTGTGAAGTACATCAGTCTAGGTGCCTTGGCTTACCAGTGAGAGCATAAAAGCCTGCTCACCATTTGCTCCCAGCCCGGCTGCACCCCTCAGATGCTTGCCTCTGTTAGGTGTAAATGTTTAGTCACCCTCAGGAGATCCTTTGATGTTCAAGTACTGACTCATTTTCCACCAAGGAGAGTACATGTCGTTACAGGCTTAAGATGTGAGATATTCTAGGGTCCAAATACTTTAGTGCATCTTCTCTAAGGAAAAGTAAAAAAATAAAATTCTTTGACTGTGTCTCAGCAAGAAACATTACCAAGATTATCTCTCTGCTTTAATAGAGAATTCTTTAATAAGGAATTCGACGAACAGTAAGTAGAAAAAAAAACAACATTGTTCTTCAAGAGTATAGAAAAGAACTATAAACAGCAATTAAATCTCAAAATGTTAATTTTGCTCACATGCATTGCATAGTGCTTGCTAGTTGATTCCATCATCTGTCTGATTTCTGTGTTAGTGTTTCT